GGCTGGCTCACTGCTGCCAACTAGTGGTCAGAGGCTGAACTACAACATAAAAATGAACGGCTGGCAGTAAAGTTGACATTTTAAAGCTTAATAAAAATCGATACAGGGCTTTAGAATATCGATACAGTATCGGGGAAATGAAATATCGCGATATTTCAGTGTATCGATATTTTCTTACACCCCTAGTCGTTACCAGTGATAAGAGGCTGATTCTGAACAAAAGTTGAGCGCGTTGTAGCGCATATTTAGTCAATGACATGTACATCCAACAGTATATATTTGATTTTTATTTTTTATTTTTATTTTTACATTCTGTCTTAGAGCAATCGCATCTGGATCTTACCCATTTTTGAATAGTCTTATCTCCTGGCATGTTATCGGTTATTATTGGTTATTGGCCGTTAGACGGAGAAAGTTATCGGTTATTATTGGTTATCGGCCGTTAGACGGAGAAAGTTATCGGTTATTATTGGTTATCGGCCGTTAGACGGAGAAAGTTATCGGTTATTATTGGTTATCGGCCGTTAGACAGAGAAAGTTATCGGTTATTATTGGTTATTGGCCGTTAGAGGGAGAAAGTTATCGGTTATTATTGCTTATCGGCCGTTAGACGGAGAAAGTTATCGGTTATTATTGGTTATCGGCCGTTAGATGGAGAAAGTTATCGGTTATTATTAGTTATCGGCCGTTAGATGGAGAAAGTTTTCGTTTATTATTGGTTATCGGCCGTTAGACGGAGAAAGTTATCGGTTATTATTGGTTATCGGCCATTAGACGGAGAAAGTTATCGATTATTATTGGTTATCGGCCGTTAGACGGAGAAAGTTATCGGTTATTATTGGTTATCGGCCGTTAGACGGAGAAAGTTATCGGTTATTATGGGTTTTCGGTCGTTAGACGGAGAAAGTTATTGGTTATTACTGGTTATCGACCGTTAGACGGAGAAAGTTATCGGTTATTATTGGTTATCGGCCGTTAGACGGAGAAAGTTTTCGGTTATCGGTTCTTAAATTAAGTTATTGTGCATCCCAACTTCTTGGGAATTTTATTCAAAAAAAATTTTGTCTGAAGCCTGTTGTTAAAAGAGCTAGAAGAGCAGCTGGTTTGATCCTGTTGAATGTGAGCACACAGCTGATTTTCACTCTTTTTTTTTACATCACCACTGTTACAAAAAAAAAGTATTTCCCAAGCAGGCTTTTTCCCCCAACACAGCACTGATTGCTGAGTGAATAAAATAAAAATAAAAACATCACAATATCTAGCCATCATTGTTTTCTTACATACAGTATGAGCTGTGTGAAGGCAAGGGGAGGATTTATGTTAACTTATGGCCTGCAGCGTCTTCAGTCCGTTTATACTCGGTGAGGAAATAGATGTCTGATTTTTTGTCACTCAGCAGGGGAAAAAAAAGTTACCTAAAGTATAAAGCAAGCTTTAAGCCTCATTCATAAGACAGCTCAGTCTGGGACTGACGTGTGTTCTACCCTCCTCTGCACATTCAGAAAAAAAACACGAAGGTGGAAGGGTGAGTAAAGTAAGCCCACCTCTGAGCCCCCAAGTGAGGTAGTATCACTCCCGGGACCGAGCCCAGCAGACCAACGTCTGAAAAAGCAACCCGCAGTTTCGCGCTCAGAAAATAATAAGCTGATGACATCAGTGTGTACAGAAAATGGATGGAAGGATGGGTGGACATCAGTGCAGTGTTTCCCCTAGGATATTGGTCTTGGGGTGTTACTTGTTCTATGAAAACATAAATTTACGCGACTCACCTTCTAATTTGTACTACAAAAATATTAACATGGTTGTCAGTCAATTCTATTATCAAAACATCTACAATAAACTTTTTTTCCCGTATTGGTCTTGGAAGGGCTGCTTATGAAAACAGAATGATCAGAAGCAGCAGCTTTGTTTTAAATACAATTTACAGAACATGAGATATTCTGAAATTTGCATTAATTAAATCTTATATAGTGAATCTCATATCTAAAGATACATTTAAGATATCTTGAACTGGAGTTTCCATACAACCTAATGATAAATCTAATGTTATTTGTACTATTCAGAATATAATTAGAGATATCTTAAATAAGTATTTTTCCTTGTCAAAATATAAGAGATGTATATTTATTTATTTGTTTCATTCATTCATTCATTCATTCATTCATTCATTCATTCATTCATTCATTCATTCATTCATTCATTCATTCATTCATTCATTC